AATTTTCTACTGTTCCACGTCTTTCGTCAGACACTGATATAACGTGCGTGCGTGTGCTTGTGTGTGTGTGTGAGCGCGCGTGTGTGTGTGTGTGTGTGTGTGTGTGTGTGTGTGTGTGTGTGTGTGTGTGTGTGTGTGTGTGTGTGTGTGTGTGTATGTGCGAGCGCATATTTATCTGGAAAACTTATTTTAATTTGCAAGTATAATGTGGCTTCTTTCGAAAATAGATATAGGTACAGAACCTGAGATCAAATCTCTCTTTGATATCAATGAAAATAGCAACTTAAATGGGAATTTAAATGGTATTTGTTTTATGTAGCCTATTTTAGGACTATCTTTCAGAATCCAACGTGTCTCCTTTATATTTCTAATTCATGGTTTTATGAAATTATTAATCCAATTTTCGTAAAGGAAGACATTCAAAAGAGAGTGACATGAAGGTAACAACAAACATATATAAACTTTCCATTTCTGCTGCAGGGCCCACTTAATTCAGAGTGTGCTATGTGGAAAATTGGTGACGATTGTGAATGCATTGAGGGAAATTACTTATAGATATGTATATACCATTTTTTTATTCTACTGAATACACTTGTACATTGTTTGACTAAATACAGTCGATCATAACAATAAGTACCCAATTAACAAGAAAATATCCCATGACCTAGAAAGAATGTTTAAAATTTATTGAAATAGCAATCACTCGAGAAGAAATTTGTAATACTGGTTCAATACTCTTGAGATGCTATATTGCTGTAGTGCTTTGTAAATCTAATCACCTATACATTTTTCTAAAGTTAAGAGCAGGTTTCTTTCTTCATATTTAATACATTTGTTAAACATATTTTAAGATTCCACTTGTTTTCGCTAATACATTTCAAAATAGAAGGCAGTGTTTAATCAATAACTAGAATGCAATCAGTTCCCATTCTTGTTTTATTGAAATTAAAACAACTAAGTGCTACTTCCTAGTTTAATTCAGTTGGCCTGAAATGTCTTGCAAATAAAGGCCTTATTCCATGATACTGTCCAGTTAAGCCACATCCGAAAAGATTGTTCTCAGGATCCTAACTTCCTCCAGATCCTTCACTTCAGCAATCGTCTCCTCAAGGAACTTCTCTTGAGTAAGCGAATCGGATTCTAGACTCAGCTCGCTTATTGCTTTGATGTTGTTTACTACCTTCATCGCCTTCTTCTTTAAGGAGACTCTACAACCATGAATCTGCTCCTCCTTTTCTTTCATGAGACTCTCTGTTTTGCGACTTTGATTGATCAATTCATCATATTTAGCTTTTAACAATAAATTAACCTTCTCAGTCCAGTTTTCAGATTCGGTTATTGAATAACTCCCTATTTCATGTTCTGACATCTTATGTGAGCATCCGTTTTTTTCACACGTTCTATCCGAAGATGCAAGCGGACATTCAAACTTCGTTTTCCTACTCCTGATTCCTGCAATAAGGCCAGAGGTCAAAGCACTTGCTGCACCGATCGAAGACCCTATAGTCGCGCCTACTGGACCCCCAAATAGGCCAACTTCGGCCCCAATTACTACTCCACTTATCATGGCAGAGAAGATCCCTGTTGCTACGCCGGTTCCTACACCCGTGGTTGTTCCCACGATCCCAGCCCTGATGTTTGAGGGGTCCCTGCAAGTCTCGCAGGTCTTCTTGCAGATCTTGCAGTTGTGTGTGTGAAAACCACTCTCAACTTCGCACCTGTCGTAAGAAACGTATTTTTCATTGTATTTCCACTTAATCTTCTCTGCTTTCTCTAGTAGCTTGTTCATTTCTGTTTTCAGCTTATCGTGAGCTCGTGTCAGAGAAGCTTCGCGTTTGACTTCATCCTTCAGCTTGGCTTTGGTCTCTGCAAGAAGCCTTCGATCTGCTTGGAGCTGCCGCGTGCTTTTGAGGCTGACGGGAGGCACTGCACTTAACTCTCTCAGAAATCGTAAGTTCTTCTCCTGCATGTTGTCCCATCTGTATTCGTGATTAAGGCTTGACCTACGATCCGTGTTATTGCGTGTTATGTAAAGAGGCCAGTTATCGAACTCATAGACGCTACTGAAGTTAATGCCAGCAGATTTCACGACTTCGTGTACGTGATTATCGTCAGAGGCAAATGTAGCCAAAAGTTTTGTTATGGGAGTGACGTCATGTGATAACAGTGAGGAGAAAGCATTCAGGATATTGATCTGGGATCTTGAAATTCTGGTCTGATTAGCTTTGGCGACCAGTCCAATGCAATGTAGATTATCAATTCCAAAATCATTTAACAAAAAAAAAGACAAACGTTCCATAACGCGATTCTGGTACTCAACACCTCTCGTATCACCAAACCCCGGCGTGTCTATGATCATTAGGTTATTGTTGATCAGCATTCCGTCCATATGATGAATCAAATAGGCTGTTATGTAGTCCGTCTGGCTGTGGATCTGACTCTTGCTGGTGAGATCCATCTGGTCCTTCAACACGAACCGGAAGTCATCGGCCAACTGGACTCCGAAGACGATGTTCAAAAGCGCATTGATCAGGCGAGTCTTCCCGGCGCCCGTCTCCCCCAGCAGGAGCACTGAGACGACCTCCTTGTCGTTCGCGGGGCCGATGCTAAGCACCTGGATCTTCTTGTCTTCATCTCTCTGTATTACCTTCGTCAGGAGCTCGTAGAGTCTCATGCCTTCGGTTTCACTGCAGGAGACCGTGAATTCGTCCGCACTGAAGGCCATCTTGTAAACAGAAAATATAAATAATGGTGAGAATATTGGCACACAAATGGTCATGAGAGGATAATGATAATAATGGGGTAGAAAGAGATGCCCTTACATATAATAATGGTGACATCAGTTACAGTACAAGCAATAGTAATGACAATGAAAACATTGGTAACAGCAGTAATGATACGACGGTAACAGCAGTAACAGTGACTAATAATTATATCAAAAGTAGTTATGATAATAGTAAAGATAATTGTAATAATGATGGTGATAATAATAACAATAATAATTATAATAATGACAATGATGATAATGGCCATAAAAATGATGATAATGATAGTAATATTAATAATGATAGTGGCGATTATTATAATAATGATAACAATGATGATGATAATAATGATAATGATTATAATAACAATAATAACAACAAAAACAACAACAACAAAACAACAATAATAACAACAATAACAATAATAACAGGGATATCAATAAAAAAACATTATGATAACAACGATGACAAAGATTAGCATGGATATAATAATAACAATAGTAATGTCAATAACAAAAACAATAATGATAACAAAACTAACAATGAGATTAATAATGAATATCAATAATTATGTTACCAGGAATGATGATGGTGATGATAATGATAATAATAATGATCATATTGATAACAATAACAATAATAATAATAATAACAATAATACTGATGTGCATACAAATAATGACCTCCTTAACAGTTGAAACAATTATCATAATCATTACTCTCACAGTAACAGTAACGTTAATAGTAATGGCAGCAATGACTAGCAGTAATAGTTACAAAAATATGTCTTTGTTACCACAACAATACAACCAACGTTATTATACTATCAATATAATTAAAACCAATTTCAGTTATAATTATGAACAATGCTAATGTTGTTACTGTCATCGTGTAATTATTATAATTATTATCACATTGATATTGCTCTTGAAGGCATATTTTCGGTCATACTAAATACTGCCCGGTACCGCTCGGCACTGCCCGGTAGCTATAAACGCATTGTTTTTTTTCTCGTATGAATTTCATACTAAATACTGTCCGGTACCCCCCACTGCCGGTACCCTACCCGGTACCACCCGGCAACCCGTCTGAAACTGCCCGAAACGGTCCTGCCCGATACCTTCCGGTACTGCCCAGTACCGTCCGGTGCTATCCGATACCGTCCGGTACTGCCTAGTACCGCTGAGCACTGCCCGGTGCAAGAAAATCTACTGCCCGGTAGCTAAAAACGTCTCTTTTTCTATAAATGTCATACTAAATACTGCCCGGTACCGTCTGGCACGGCCCAGTATCGGCCAGTCCGACACCGTAACGTCCGGTACGGCCCGGGTACCGTACTGGCACGGCCCAGTATCGCCAGTACTTACCGTCCGGCCTGGCACTGCCCGGTACCGTCCGGCACTGCCCGGTACCGGCACTGGCCTCTGCACTGCCCGGTACGCTTGTCTGGCTTGGGTACATCCGGTACTGCCGGGTACCTACGGCCCGGTACTCTCCGCTACGGCTCAGTACCGTCCGCTACTAGTACGCCCGTAGTGCCCGGTACCGTCCGGTACGGCCTGGCACCGCCCGGACAAATAATGCGTTTATAGCTACCGGGCAGTACCAGAAGGTACTTTGCCGTACCGGACGGTACCGAGCAATCCCGGGCGGTACCGGACAGTGCCGGACACTGCCAGGCGGTACCGGGCAGTGCAGGATAATACCGGGCAGTACGGAACGGTACCGGGAAGTGCCGGACGGTACCAGGCAGTGCCAAGTGGTACCAGGTAGTGTTGGTCGGTACCAGGCCGTACCGGACGGTACCGGCCAAGGCCGGGTGGTACCGGGCAGTGCCTGACGGTACCGGACGGTAAGGGGCAGTACCGTGCAGTTCCCACGGTAGTACTGGACGGCAGTGGGCAGTACTTGACGGTACCGGGCCGTACCGACTGGTACCAGGCGGTACCGGACGGTAATTGGTAGTACCGGGCAGTGCCAGGCGGTACCGGACGGTACCGGGCAGTGCCAGGCGGTACCGGCAGTGTCAGGCGGTACCGGCAGTGCCAGGCGGTACCCAGGCGGTACTGGGCAGTGCCAGGCAGTACCGGACGGTACCGGGCAGTCCAGTCGGTACCGGCAGTGCCAGGCGGTACCGGCAGTGCCAGGCGGTACCGGGTGCAGGCGGTACCGGCAGTGCAGGTACCGGGCAGTGCCAGGCGGTACCGGGCAGTGCCAGGCGTACCAGCGTAGCGG